TATATCAGAATATGTAGGTTATCATTTATGAGATTAGAATTTCAGCAAAGATAAACTTGTGTAGACCTTTTATTTTGCCGCCTTGCGGCCCTTGTTCGATAACTCCTTTCTTAATCAATGAACTGGCAAATCTTTTGCCTTGTTTCAAAAAAAAAACTTGTGTTATGTTTGTCAGGGTTGGCAGCTGCACCTAGCTTTGGAGGCTCCCTCGCCTCGTCCTTCTTGGCGCGCTCATCATGATTCCCCTTAGGTACCCTCCACGGATGGTGCAGCAGAGCAAAGACAACTCTTGTTCGGAGGAGAGAGACCATGAAACTGAAGCTCCACTGTGCAACAATGGCATCAAGCAAGAACAACACAGGCCAAAATATATGCGTACGAATGACTGCATATGGATATTTTCATAAGAACTACTGCACTAGAATGAAGTGATCAGTATACTACTATGAGTATGTGCTGAATAGATGTGGCTGGCTGCGTACAAATGTATTACTCCTCTGCAAGTTAACCCCTTCCAAACGAAACCAGGCTGCATGCTTCAAGATGAGGCAGATAAGTTACAGTAAAAAAAGTGTTCTCAGTAAGAAAACAAAATAATCATTAAAAGCATTGCCAAACATCCCCAGTCCAATTGGAGAAAAGTGGAGTGCCTCAAAATGTGATGGCAAAACATGTACAGTAGCAATTTTGTTGCACACATGCATGATCAACGTTGGCTTCTTGACTTTAAAGAGGCATCCAACAAGGCACAAATTTAAACATTAACATCTAGCTATAACAACCGAAAGCAGCAGTGGATCAGTAAATGCGTAAAGGCAAGATGAACGTCATGCTGAGCAGGACATAATGCGGCAGCAGCAGCATCCAGGTATATTTAACAGCAAATCAGGAAGTAGAGTGGCAAAGCGCACAACTCAGCCTGGACACGGTCCGGTCCGGTCCGGTCCCGGTCCGAGCCGGCGTTTGGACCGGACCGGACCGAGCTTGCCAGCGGTTTGTATTTTCAGGACCGGACCGAAGTGATGCCAGCTCGGTCAAGCTTTTCCGGCTCGTTGGGACCGAGCCAACTTGTCCTTCCAGCTTCTGTTTAGTGCCTATTTAGCTGCAGTTCTGGTCTTAGTTACACACAAAGAGCGCCATGTTCACCACGGAGAGTAGCAGCAGCAACACGTAGTAGTAGTCGAGGTGCGAGTCGTTCAGGTTGTCACCGATCCAGCTCTTGCCGGCGCTCGCCCTGGTAGCCCGGTCGACAAACGTCACAAGGAGGCTGTTGAGGAAGTTCCCGACGCCGAGCCCGCTCGTGTAGAAGGTGGTTCCCATGCTCTGCATCCCCTCCGGCGACTGCCCGAGCTGCCCGCGAGGCGGCGCAGCACGTCGGGGTCGCCGAGCTGCATGAGGCTGCTGGCGATATCGGCGCAAAAATGGAATCGTGAGTGGACGGTGATCGCTGGAGACACGACCGGAGGGGAGGGAGACAAACACAGAAGTTGTTCCGGCGCTCGAACACCATGGATGGTGAACTGGCATGGTCGAGAACTCGCGAACGGCTTCAGTGCACGCACGGCAGCGACGGCAAGCGGAAAAAAGAGGCTATGGGGCACAGGGAGGAGAGGAAGGAAGGTGAGGGGAAGCTCCTGGACATGATGGTTCACTCAGGGGACGCCGGTGGCGACGACGACGAAGCACGGCGGCGGCGGTGAATGCGCTTTCTCGGTCCGCCGAGCGGTCCCGGTCAAAGACCGGACCGGACCGAGTGCTGAGCGGGCCTAATTTCCTGGACCGGACCGACCAATTTTGCTAGCGGGCTGGGACCGAGCGGTCCGGTCCTCCTCGGGCCACGAGCGGGCCAAAAAGCCCGCTTGCTGCGTCCACCCTGACGCACAACCACAGTATACCACAGCAACTGTGCCAACATAAAAGGGCAGTTCGACTCTTACATATTCAGCTTGCTTACATTGTCTTGCTTAGATGAGCTTAATACCGACATAGGAAAGCACACGATGGTTAATTCCTAATGACAAACACCAACACACCAGTACTATATCTAGCCAGAATATTATCGGCGTCAACTTGTCCATCCTCCAGTTCTCCTCCAAGGCATCAGATGCATGGCCCAACCCGAAGACCCCAAAAGGAAAGCGAGTTCATCCCTGCAGATATATTTAAAAAATATACTAATAAGCAAGTAAAGTGGATCAATATATGACTATATGCACTAGAAATGTGTGCTTCATAGTTTCACAGAAAAGGCCATATATGCCAACTAGAAATACAGTAAAGTTTAAGACTAAATGCACGTAATAGCTGCCCAGTCATGCTTCGAAAGGATCCCATAGCCACCTTACATCTTTTTTTCAGTTACAAAGTACTCCCTCCGTCCAAAAATAAGTGTCGTTGATTTAGTATAACTTTAGTACAAAGTTGTACTAAATCAGTGACACTTATTTTGGGACGGAGGGAGTAATATACATAAAAGGTAGCAGAAAGATAAGATGTGAATGGTAAATTAAATTGAAGCCTTTCCTAAGATGTGCAGGTTATGTAAAATTGAAGGAATATAGTTGCCTTTCCACTAAGAAATGAAACTGTCTTTTCCAATTGGCCAATTTCATGGCAATAGTTGAATAGGACAGAATTAAAAAAAAAACATGGCCACTTCCCCTAGTTTGACAATAACAGATCATAATAGCATTAAATGATAATTCTACATGAACACTCAGGACAACAAAGCACAACAAACATAACCAGAACAAACTTACCACTTCATGTTAGGAAGTAGTATACATAAAAGGTGGCAGAAAGATAAGATGTGAAAGATAAATTAAATTGAAGCCTTTCCTAAGATGTTAGAGCATCTCCAGCCGCGCCCCCAACAGGCCCCCCATGCGCCTTTTTACGCGCTGGCGCCGAAAAAAACCCCCACTCGCGCCCCCAAGACGCTGAAATCCACCGGCTCGGCCGTTTTTGGGTCCGGCGATCGCAGGCCAAACCCGGCGCACTGGGGGGCGCTCGGGGGCTCCGGCGCAAGGGAAAAACACGCCTGGGCCACACTGTCAGGCAAAAAGTCAAGCCAATCGTCCAGATTCGGGGGCTCCGGCGCAAGGGAAAAACACGCCTGGGCTGCTGGAGGAGGAAGCCGATGCCGACGTCTAGGAAGAGGAACATCTCATGGTCCTCGCTGCCCTCATCGGCCTGCTCGCGAGCAATAAAAAGCCGCGGCGAGGTGGCTCGGCGTCGGGGCGGATGAAAGCAAAGAGTCGGCATCGTCTGGAAGGCTACTGCATGCTCTACTCCGACTACTTCGCCGACACTCCACTGCACGGCAAGAAAGTATTTTGGTGCAGTTATCGGATGAACCGAAAGCTTTTCCTCGGGATTGTGAATTCCATCCGGGAGTTTGACAACTACTTCAAGTGCAAGAAGGATTGCACTGGCAAACTTGGATTCACCTCAATCCGTAAGTGCACGACAGCTATGAGGATGCTTGCATACGGAGCTCCAGGTGATTCACTCGACGACTATGGGAGCATGGTCGAGTCCACGACCATTGAGTGTTTTTACAAGTTCTGCAGGGCAGTGGTGGCAGTGTTTGGACCGCAATACTTGCGAACACCTAATGCGGAAGACACTGCTCAGATCCTAGCATAGAATGCAGCAAGAGGATTTCCTGGGATGCTTGGAAGTATTGACTGCATGCATTGGAAATGGAAGAACTGCCCATCTGCTTGGCAGGGGATGTACAAAGGCGCCAAAGGCGGTTGCAGTGTGGTACTTGAGGCGGTGGCCACACAGGACCTCTGGATTTGGCACTCCTTCTTTGGTATTGCCAGGAACTCACAATGACATCAACGTGCTGCAGTGCTCCCCTGTCTTTGCCAATCTTGTTGAAGGTCATTCTCCTCCGGTGAACTTCGAGGTCAATGGGCGGCACTACAACAAGGGGTACTACCTAGCTGATGGCATCTATCCGAGATGGTCTGCATTTGTGAAGACTATCTCAAACGTTGTGCCAGGAGGCAAGAAGTCCCACTTTGCCAAGGTTCATGAGGCTTGCAGGAAGGATGTCGAGCGGGCATTTGGTTTGCTCCAATCTCGATTCGCTGTTGTCCGGTACCCTGCTCAGACCTGGTCGAAAGATCAAATGTGGGAGATCATGACTTGCTGTGTCATCTTGCACAATATGATCATTGAGAGCGAGCAGGAAGAGTCAGTGTTTGACACTGAACCATACTACAGGCAGGGTCTTCTTGCCCAAGTCGATCACTAGCTACCGGCAACCTGGACTGCCTACCTCAATATGCGTCAGGAGATCCGAGACCCACAGGTGCATCAACAACTACAGCAGGATCTGGTGGAGCACCTATGGAGGGTCAAGGGCGACGCCTAGCTCGATGAAATATGAGTTTTTATTTCTCGAACTATATAATTTGTATTGAACTATTTGTTGAACTATTTGATTTCTATTTATTTTCTATGATGAACTATGTGATAAAAAAAATTACTTATGTTGAGAATTCACGCCGAATAGCGAATATGGGCCGATTCGCGCCGATATCGGGCCATTTTTCGCCGAAAGTGGGCCAAAAGCGGGCACATTTGCGCCAAAAATGGGCCGATATCGGCGCCTAGGGGCGACGGCTGGGTGCCCAACCGCCCCCAGAGCCGATTATACCGCCGGCTTGCCCCCAGGCGGCGATTTTTATGCCTCCTGGGGGGTGGGCGCCAACGGCTGGAGATGCTCTTAGTGCCCTCAAACATTAACTAGTGTGTAGGTTATGTAAATTTGAAGGAATATAGTTGCCATTCCGCTAAGAAATGGAACTGTTTTTTCCAATTGGCCAATTTCATGGCAATTGTTCAACAGGGCAGAATGAAAAAAAAAGCATGGTCACTTTCCGTAGTTTGACAAATAACAGGTCATAATAGCATAAAACGATAATTCTACACGAACACTCAGGACAACAAAGCACAACAAACATAACCAGAACAAACTTACCACTTTAAATAGTCGGCTTTGATAACGACGGAGGGAAGCCAAAGTACCAATAAACATTTTCATAATGGAAGAATTTCTTCTTCCTCCTACAAACCTTTACAAGTTCAGAAGTCTTGACATCCAGAGAAAAATAGTCTACATCCCAATCAGTCCTTGACAACCACACCGGCGAGTCTTCGTCAATGTCCAGCTGATCTTCTGTAGTGGCTCCAAGGAATAAGAATCCCTCAGCCGCGCCCAAGGTGAAATAATGATACTGGCCAGGCAACTGTATAATATTCTCTAGCTGCCATTCCTTGGGAGATTCAGAGTTATTTTGCTGAGTTGTATGATAGAGACCAAACGAGCTATTTGGGCTGTGACCACCAACGAGAGAAAACATCTCAATAGTCCCTTCTTTGCCCACTACAATGCGAGGAAGACTTCTGGTATGGCCAGACCGGCGTCTGGATGGCATATCGTTTCTGTCAACAACTTCATCCGCCTGGCCAGGCAGACACCTGAGATGCATATGGTAGCCCGTGCGATCGTTGACTGTAGAAAATTCCATTCTTCGAATGTCCAGCATGAGTAACTTGTCCATCCAAGGTGACGCCGAGTAGAAGCATCCGCGCACGTAGTCAAAACATGACAAGCCACGGCACCCTAAAGAGCAGAAGTTGCGAAACCCATGGGGGCGGCCGGTGCCCAAAGAACTCCAGCTGGGTGATGCAGCTATACACCATTGCCCCGTGAGGGACGAGAAGACAAACGTCACCAGCTTGGTTGTATAGTCTGCAAAGCATATTACCTTGAACGAGGTCTCATCCTCGTCCTCCTCGCCAATGGGAGCTAGGATGGGCACGATTTCAACATTGCGATTTTCCCTGGCAGCAGCAAGCTCATCCGATATGGGTGGAAGTAGCACGTATCGCCGTGACAATGGATCACACACCGCGAGGTTTCTGAAGTCCTCCCAAAATTGCCCGTCTTCGAGAAGGACACGGCCATCCCGGGCGTCGCACGGGACCCACACGTGCCCCTCGCCGTGTTTGGGGACGAAGGAGTAGGTGAAATCGGCCGCGTCGGCGAGGGCACGGGCGAGCGGGGCGGAGGGGTGGGGTTCCTGGGCGGGGTGGAATCCGCTCTCGTCGACGAATCCGAGGAGCGGCGGCGGATGGCGTTTGCGATAGTGGCGGAGAAAGGAGCGGCCGGTGACGATGCGGCGGAAACGAGGGCAGGCGGTGGAGGCGCGGGCGAGCGCGGCCGGGGTTGGCAGGCGGAGGAAGATCTCCTCCAGGATCTCGTCGACGAGGTGCGGCGCCGGCGAGGACATGGCGGGCGGGGCGGCCGATCGACCGCCGCCGGGGAGGGAGGAAGGGGGTGGGTCGCTAGGGTTTGGGGCGGAGTGAGTGAGTGAGGGCGTGCGCGGCGTCCCGAGGCAGTGCGTGTGCTTTGCTTGGTGGCCAAGCGGCGAGCGCGACGTCACTAATCGCGCTTAGCGCTCTAATCCGGCGATCCCGCTTCCACCGCCGTCCGTTGTCCACCATTTGCCCCGCGGCCGCAGGCGAGCTCGACGAAGCTGACGGTGGTCGCTGCATCGAAGATCGCTAACATCTTGGTGCTTCGAATGGAGAATCCCACCATTCTTCCTCCTCCGGACCTTAAAGAAGTGGATTAATCTAGGGGTTAGGTTGGAAGAAGGGGATTAGTTTTTTTTTTTGAGACACAGAAGGGGATTAGTGTCAGTGAGCATCTTCTTAAGCAGGCTGGAATAGTTTTGGGCCCAGCATCTTGGGCCTGTTAAGAAGGCTGCTGGCCAAGGTATTCATTCTTTCTCCCTTTCTTTTTATTTTATTTGTCATTGTCAACCATTCATTCATGTTGTATTGCTATCTGATTTTGTTTGGCATATCATGTACATTTTGTTCCATTGGGTCAGTTCTCTTTGTTCAGGCCATCCTGTATACTTGGTGCTCAACTCTTAGATACTTGTTCCTTCTAGAAACATGTTTTGTTATCCCAAATGATAAGTGCCACCCTCGTGGCATGAAGTCACACGCCCTGACGATTTTTACTCTAAAGTTGCCAACCAGAAAAAAAATCCTCAAAAACTTGAAACTTGCCATGCTTCATAACTAAAGTTGTAATCCTCGGATATCTAAACTTGTCATCAAAAAACGTGAGGGTGGAATTGCTTCGTGCCATATGTGTGCCACTTATCAGGGTCCTTAATTTGTTATTATATAGTGTATGAATATTCTCTATCACTTGTCGGTTAGGACAAACTCTCCCGTCCAAGCTTCTTAAGCGAGCCCTTGGATTTGCCTCCCCTCCGCCAGCCGCTTCGGTGGCCAATGGCGGGGAGGGGAATCCTGATGCCTCCACTCCGGTTAGTAGTTTAGGTTAGGGTTTTTAAGTCCTATCAGGTGCGGCGCAGAGCGAAAGGCGACGCTTCTTCTTCTTCAAGTTTGTTCTTCGTACTACGATCCTCATTGAGTTCGTTCATCTGAATGTAGTCGATGGAGCTCCGTATATCCCTTCCATCTCCTTGGGGGGGCGAGGTTAGGGTTTCTCCTCGTGTGGTGAGATTAGGTGTTGCATGTTTCAAATCTATTTAAGGGTTCAACAGTGACGATTGCGCCTCCAACATGTTGGCCCTTAGGGGCACGTGCATGAAGACTTTTCGGTTGTCATTGACAAGGTCAAGCCGGATCCGGTAGGGGAGCGGCGATAGCGGCGCGTCGATGGCTCGTTCTGACGGCGGTAGGGGTCGTTCGGTGGTCTTGGAATTTTGATGTAGTTTTTATTATGTTTGAGGTGCTTTATACTTTCAATGAACTTTAATAATAGACCTGGATTATTTTCGTTAAAAATGCTTTGTTCCATCTATTGAACACATGTTCTAGAAACACTTGTTCCCATGCTCTTGAACACATGTTCCATTTACAACTATTTTGCTCCAGCTACTTGCTCCCCAACTACCCTTGGAAGGAAGGAGGGCCCTTGGAAGGAAGGAGGGGATGCGGACAATGTGTGGATGAAGATGGCGACTTGCATTCGTAAGGTGGCCTCAGAGGAGTTTGAAGTGTCCAGGGGAAGGAGAAGCGAAGATAAGATACCTGGTGGTGGAATGATGATGTCCAGAAGGCGATTAAAGAGAAGAAAGATTGCTTCAGACGCCTATACCTGGATAGGAATGCACACAACATAGAGAAGTACAAGATGGCGAAGAAGGCCGCAAAGCGAGCTGTTGGTGAAGCAAGGGGTCGGGCGTATGAGGACCTCTACCAACGGTTAGGCACGAAGGAAGGCAAAAGGGACATCTATAAGGTGGCCAAGATCCGAGAGAGGAAGACGAGGGATATTGGCCAAGTCAAATGCATCAAGGACGGAGCAGGCCAACTCTTGGTGAAGGACGAGGAGATTAAGCATAGATGGCGGGAGTACTTCGACAAGCTGTTCAATGGGGAGAATGAAAGCTCTACCATTGAACTGGACGACTCTTTTGATGAGACCAGCATGCGTTTTGTGCATCAAATCCAGGAGTCTGAGGTCAAGGAGGCTTTAAAAAGGATGAAGGGAGGCAAGGCGATGGGCCCGGATTGTATCCCCATTGAGGTGTGGAAAGGTCTCGGGGACATAGCGATAGTATGGCTAACCAAGCTTTTCAACCTCATTTTTCGGGCAAACAAGATGCCAGAAGAATGGAGACGGGGTATATTAGTACCAATCTTCAAGAACAAGGGGGATGTTCAGAGTTGTACTAATTACCGTGGAATTAAGCTGATGAGCCATACAATGAAGCTATGGGAGAGAGTCATTGAGCACCGCTTAAGAAGAATGACAAGCGTGACCAAAAACCAGTTTGGTTTCATGCCTGGGAGGTCGACCATGGAAGCCATTTTCTTGGTACGACAGCTTATGGAGAGATATAGGGAGCAAAAGAAGGACTTGCATATGGTGTTCATTGACTTGGAGAAGGCCTATGATAAGATACCGCGGAATGTCATGTGGTGGGCCTTGGAGAAACACAAAGTCCCAGCAAAGTACATTACCCTCATCAAGGACATGTACGATAATGTTGTGACAAGTGTTCGAACAAGTGATGTCGACACCGATGACTTCCCGATTAAGATAGGACTGCATTAGGGGTCAGCTTTGAGCCCTTATCTTTTTGCATTGGTGATGGATGAGGTCACAAGGGATATACAAGGAGATATCCCATGGTGTATGCTCTTTGCGGATGATGTGGTGCTAGTTGACGATAGTCGGGCGGGGGTAAATAGGAAGTTAGAGTTATGGAGACAAACCTTGGAATCGAAAGGGTTTAGGCTTAGTAGGACTAAAACCGAGTACATGATGTGCGGTTTCAGTACTACTAGGTGTGAGGAGGAGGAGGTTAGCCTTGATGGTCAGGTGGTACCTCAAAAGGACACCTTTCGGTATTTGGGGTCAATGTTGCAGGAGGATGGGGGTATTGATGAAGATGTGAACCATCGGATCAAAGCCGGATGGATGAAGTGGCGCCAAGCTTCTGGCATTCTCTATGACAAGAGAGTGCCACAAAAGCTAAAAGGCAAGTTCTACAGGACGGCGGTTCGACCCGCAATGTTGTATGGCGCTGAGTGTTGGCCGACTAAAAGGCGACATGTTCAACAGTTAGGTGTGGCGGAGATGCGTATGTTGAGATGGATGTGTGGCCACACGAGGAAGGATCGAGTCCGGAATGATGATATACGAGATAGAGTTGGGGTAGCACCAATTGAAGAGAAGCTTGTCCAACATCGTCTGAGATGGTTTGGGCATATCCAGCGCAGGCCTCCAGAAGCTCCAGTGCATAACGGATGGCTAAAGAGTGCGGAGAATGTCAAGAGAGGGCGGGGTAGACCGAATTTGACATGGGAGGAGTCCGTTAAGAGAGACCTGAAGGATTGGGGTATCACCGAAGAGCTAGCTATGGATAGGGGTGCATGGAAGCTTGCTATCCATGTGCCAGAGCCATGAGTTGGTTGCGAGATCTTATGGGTTTCACCTCTAGCCTACCGCAACTTGCTTGGGACTAAAGGCTTTGTTGTTGTTGTTGTTGTTGTTGTTGTTGTTGTTGTTGTTGTTGTTGTACTTGCTCCCCAACTGTTAAACACATGTTCCTAAACTATGTACTTGTACCTTCACTCTTAAACACTTGTTCCTTCACTCCTAATGTTTTTGGTTGTCAGTATTATTACTGGGATATGTCTAGGTCTTAGTTGACTGAGATTTAGCGAAGTCTCAGTCAATGACGTCTCCCATCTTCTTCTTTTTAGCATAGCGCCCTCCACCTTTGTAAGCGGCTGAAATCACATATTTGACCTGAGGCCGAAATCAAATCACAAACTGACCTGCTCTCGAAAATTTTTCACTCTGCTGACCCTTTAGTGTGGCGCCCGATAGCTAGGCGTCGCACCCTACAATTCAGCACCCTTCCCTTCGGTGTTGCAGATCCAGCCAGCGTGGCAGCCCTGGTCCTCTTGCGGCCCCACAGACAGCAGTGCAGCGCCTAAGGCTAGGGCGCCACACTGTGTATAGTGCAGCGCCTATCTCTTGCGTGCTGCATGTTGACTTAGGCCGCATCGGGCCAGCCCCTCCCAGCCAGTTCTTCCCCCTCTGAGGAAGTTGCTCTCTGTAGAGAGAGCGGTGGCGGCGCCCCCTTCGGATCTCCCCACAGCCCCTCTTAGATCTGAAGTTTTGAGGCCTGGATTCGATCTCTAATCCCTCCTAGTATGTAAACTCCTCTGTTCCCTTTCTTTTCCTTCGTAAATTCATTGCAATTTTAGGGATTTGCCCAAGATTAGGTGGAACTTTTGATTTGCTTGGTTTGGATCTTTGTTTGTCCAAGATTGTGTGTTGTGATGGAGGATGTGTAGTCATATCCGGTAGTATATGATTCTTGTTAGTGAAACCTAGATTGTTTATTTTTTTTAGATATATATGAGATGCCTAGTTTTGTAGATAATTATGATATGTTGAGTTTTGTAGCTATATGTGAGATGTTGAGTTTTTTTAGATATATATTAGATATTGAGTTTATTTGAAATATGAGATGTTGATTTATTTGAACACATATGTCATACGAGATATATATGAGAATTTACAATCATTTATTCATTGTGTGAGAAGGAGATGTTGAGATTCTTGTAGATGAATACATATGAGATGTTTAGATGAACACATATGAAATGTTGAGTGTTTACCGATATTTGTGATGAACTCATATATGTTTATTGTTTGAAATTTGTAAGGATGGTTTGGCTTCTGGACGATGTCTACGACGTGCAACACCGAGCCTACATGATG